CCCGCCGCGGCCGCGAGCGCGGAGCGCTGCGGCTGCAGGGCGCCCGGCGGCGGCGGCGCGCTGTCGTACGTCCCGCTTTCCAAGTCACGGCCCAGCGGCCGCTCGTGGCCGGGCTGCTGCTGCTGCGACGGCGGTGATGGCCCCAAATTTGGAGGGAGCGCCGCATACGGGTGGGAGGCGGGCGGGGCGGCCGGCCGCTGCTGCAGTTCTTGGGGGGAGGGGAGGCCCGTTGGCCACTCCAAGCCCTGCAGCGCCAGCTGGACCTGGAAGATCAAGGGGTGCAGGGAGGTGAAACTGCTAGGTGATGCGGGTGGGTGGGTGTCTGAGCCGGGCGGCACGGCGCCACGGCGGGGTGGTGGGGGGCGGGGCCGCTGAACCCAGAAGGAAAGGGGCGTGTGGGGGCGCGGGGCATGTGTGCGCTGCCAGTTGGCGTATTGGCGTGTGCTGGGATGCAGGGCAAAGCTCGGCCCACTCAACACAAGATCAAAGGGATCAAAGGTGGGGGGTGTGGCGGGGATGAGCGTGCGTGCACATCGACTCATGCCAAGGACCCCCTCCTAAGCACACCAAAGCCATTGACAACATGCGTGCAGCAGCACGCTCGGCCCCCCGCTGGCGAGCAAGGCAGAGCCTCCCCCCTTGCCTGCAGGCAGAAAGCCACAGCATCGTAGGGGTCATAGAACCCGACAGTGTAGGAGTCCCCCTCCTGCTCCAGGACAGAGCCCGCGTTGGCAAACGCGGCGCGCCGCACAGCCTGGCGGCGATGGGATGGTTACGAGACAGTGGTGAGGCATGGTCAGCGTGCAGTGAGCGGCGTGTGCCTTGGGAGCAAGGGGACGTGTGTGTTTGTATGTGTGAGAGAGTGTGTGCGTGAGTGTGCAAGTATTTGTGTGTGGGGGGGGGCAAGCCGTGCAGCAATAGCGGATGTGTGCGTGGGATTCTGGCTGGCAGGGTGCTGGCGATACTGGGGAGGGGAGCGTCATCGCAGATTCCAGCCTCACGCGCGCAACACCGAGCGCAGGCAGCAGAGGCGCCTGGGGAGACAGCGCAAACATTCAAGTTTGCCCATAGGGCCTGCATAATATCTCGCACCTGGTTGTGCATTCCGAGGGCTGTAGTCATGAGGTCGGGCACTGCTTTCATCAGGTCTGGGCGGGAAGGAGAGAGAAGTCGAGGAGTCGGGTAGGGGAGGCGGAGGGAGAGCAGAGGAGCGTGGGTCGGGCAGGTGGACGAGAAAGGAGGAGGCCAGGGGCCAAACCAGCGGTGGGCACAGTCGCCAGGCAGGTGCCGTAACCCGACCTGCCGCAGGCGGGGCCTGCTGCGCGGACGCACATGGCGCAAAAGGCCGCTCGCCACACGGCGCGCCGTCGGCCGCTCTCGATATGCCCTCTTCATCTGCCCGGCCGGCGTAAACGCCCCCCGTCTCACCGGAGTAACCCTCGATGTCAGTGACGACCGCGGTGACGCGGCCCTGGTCCTTTGGCAGCCCCTTGGCGCGCTTCGCCATCAGCTCCATGCGCCTCAGTGCCTGCGGACGCCACTTCCGCCGCTGCTGGGCGGAAATGCCGACATACAGCGCCAGCAGGAGCGCCAGCAGGCAGACCATCGCCCCCAGACCGCCCACCAGCCGGACCGCCCACGCCGGCAGCGGCGACTTGGACTGGGGCACGCAGGCGTAGTCCGGCAGGCCGTTCTTCGCGGTGCCGGACTGGACGAGCTCGAAGTTGCTGTCGCAGGTGCAGTTTGAAAACTCGTAGTACCTGCTCGGCAGTGGGTTGAGCAGCCGGCCGGGTGGTGAGGTGGGGCAGAATGGGGCATGCGTATCAGTATACTTTGCAGGTGGGCAGGAGAGGGGCAGCGGCCGCGCTTTGCATTGCCAAAGATGACCATGGTTCGGCGCCTGTGCCTGCCAGGCCAGCAGCCAGGCCGGAGCAGTCCGAGGCCTACTCCGCCCCTCCCCACTGGGCTCAGCTCCGCCCCCCCCCAAGCAAAGGCGCCTCCCCCCGGCGCTGTGCTTTCACGTCGGGTCTATGCTCATGCGTGTGTAGTCCGGCACGGCGGCAGGCGCGTAGAAGGGGCAGGGCCAAGCAGATTGGTCGGGGCCGCCTAGGCCGCCCAGATCAGCAGACTCCCGAGGGTCGCGCCGCGAGATGGCAGGGCAGCTGCGGGCGGAAGTGGCGCGGGCGGTGGTGGGCGCAGGTGATTATGTTGTGTTTGAATGTCAGGGCCGCCCGCGCATGGTGGGGATAAAGGGAGCCTGGACATGCCTGCATGACTGTGCCAACAGCTGCTGACGAGGTGGCAGGCAGCCGCACGCGCTAGGGCAGCAGGGTCGGTGGGCTGCACACCCGCTCCCGTCCCTGTGCACGCCGCCGTTGTGTGGCCCGCTCTTCCTCTCCTATCCCCCAAAACGCACGTGCAGCCGCTGAAAACGATGCTGCAGCTCTGGCATCAGACATCTGGGTCCCCCTCGAACAAAAACATGTATGCACACACACACACACACACACACACACACACACACACGCATGCCCCGCGTCACTCACAGCAAGCCCTTGTACCCGATCTGGCTCCCCACGTCCTTCTGCAGCTGCTGCAGGAAGCACGGCAGCCCGTGCGCTGCGCCGCCGCCCTGCACTGCCAGGGGGCGGCCCCTCATGGCGGTCCGCTCGACCTCCAGCACCGCCAGCTCAGCCAGCGAGCCCAGGCCGTCGGGGATGGTGCCGCCCAGGCGGGGGTTGTTTGACAGCACCAGCTCGCGCAGGGCCAGGGCTGACCTGAAGGTTTAGGCGGCGCGGCAGGAGGGGAGGGGTGTGGGCGCGGGCGGGGGTGAGGAAAGGGAGGAGGGGCGCCGTCGGGAGGGGTGCATTGTGGGGGTGAGGGTGTGGGTGGAAGTCGGGCAGCCAGGGGCTGGGGGTGGCGGAGATGTGCCAGTGCGTGCACGCAGCCGTTGAGGGACGGGGGTTTGGCACATGCAGGCAGGTGTTCAAGGTGGGGTCGCC